GGTCATAGAAATCACAGGAGTTGTCCTGCTTACCTTTAATGGGCTCCTCAGTGAGATTCTGACCCATAAGTACAGTGGGCCATGCTATGTCCGTCTAATAAGCCGGGTGCGGTTCAAGTCCAACTCACACTTCATCGCTTCTATCGACAAATACAAAATATCATTATTCAAGGCCTTGATCGTTTTCCCCAGTTTTCTACCATTTACATCCCATTCTCATGCAAAGACGGTATTATGAATGTAATCACCAAATTCCACGGCTATACGAACCAATTAAAGAAAAGGCGGACAAAATTCATCTTCTATCTGTAATGACGCTCAAAAATTACATTTTAAAAATCCTGTTTACTATGGATATGAAACCACAGACGTATAGGCCCCGCCCAAAAGAGTTGAGCCCTGATTTGAAGGGCTCAGAGCCCAAACGTTTAGTAAAAGAAGAAGGTACGAAGCTATCTAATCAAGCAGAGGGAGAAGAGGCGGCGAAGTAGGAGAGCGGCCCGACGAGAGCGGCGTTGATGTAAGTGGCGGGTTCCGAGTGGCTGTAATCGTCCCTCTGGTCAGGGTACCCATCATTCTCATTGGGTCCTCCTACTATGGCTCCTGTCAATATGTTGGGGTTAGGGTTTTGGGTGTAAAAGGATTGGAATCCGCCATTGCACCCCATTGTATTCGATCGAGCCACCAGAGACGGTAAAGACGATCCTCTGTGGTGGATTCTCCTCGGAAAATTTGGTCCGAATCCTACCATGTACGACATCTTCAAGGGGTTTTCCCCCAGTATGTAATCCACCTGCGTCTTTGACAGGCTTATCAACGAGTTCGCTACGATCGCCGAGTTGCCGCAGTTGAAAGTCCGTCGCGCCGATTTCATGTACTTGGCGTAGGTCGTCACCAGGAATGTTATGGATGTCACATACTGCAGATTACTCTGAGGTAACTTGTACATCAATCCTCCTGATTTTTTTTTTTTTTTTTGGAGAGGAAGAAATATCGTCATCAGGTCATCAGGTTTTAGATATGTTTTAGATATCGTCATCAGGAAGAACATATCTCAATTGTTCTCTTAGGACATTGTATTTTTCAGTCACCTTGAGTGTACTGTGTGGTTGAGTAGGGAGAATGTGGCAGGATCTTGCACATGAAATTCTCAGCTCCTTGCCTGTAGGGCTCCAAGGTGCTGTCTCTGTTCAGCAATGCTCGCTGCCAAAGGAACAAGCTTTTGATCAAGGAACCAACCAAGTTGAGTAATTATAAATTATGCTCACAGTCCGCAGCAATGAAAGACATACACGTGAGAGGAGGACATAAGCACCGATATACTTATTGTCCCAACTGAATATGTCAGGCTGATCCCCGCCTCCTAAGGATGTTATGAAGCTCGCGTAATAACGATTGTTGGTTGCTCTAAGCAGCCATGCTGCTCCCCACATCAACTCATCCTATCATCACAACCTTGACTGGTTAAGAGTCTAAAGATGATGGTAAGTTGAGATATATTTTGTAGAGTGGCATGTTTCAACTATATATTTGAGATTTAACCTTTTATCGCCTAGGCCAGGAAACATAAAAGATGTGAAAACACACCTTGTAACCAGAGTAGGAGCAGTAGAAAGGACAAACTGCAGAAGCAAGGGAATCGCTGTAAGCACCCCTGTATTGAATGGCAAACTGCATCAGTATCTTGGCTGTTGACAATAGCAAACGGGAGTACTTGGGATCTGTTTTCCTAAAAACCATGGACGATGCCGCCAGAGCTGCTGCGGTTTCAGCAGCAACATCAGAGCCAGGGTTGGAGGGTGATACAGAATAGACGGAACGAGGGGTGTCCATGTCCTCCGGTCGCTCCCAGCACCTATGGTCGGCATTAGGGTCCCCTACTCCAACGTAAAGCTTGCCTGGAGTTGCCCTGGCGCATTTGAGCAGATAGTCTGTGGCCCATCGGATGGCTACACGAGCATTTTGGAGCTCAGGCCCCATTCGCTTGCCATACTCCAGAGCTCCCCAGGAGAGCATTGTGGTGGTAAACGCCATTGGGAAATTGAACTTTACGTTGTCGCCAGCATCATAGTAGCCCCCTGTCAGATCCACCTGCAGCTCATAACAAAAATCACCCATTAAATCATATGTATTGCTACTGGTTACTGATGACAGGTTCAGGGTTTAGAGTTTACATGGTCAGAGGAGCCATCGGAGAGGCCAGAGTTGGACCTCCAGGTGATTCGTTGGTCTCTAGGTAGGCGACCAGACCGCTGACCTTGGAAGAAAAGCAGGCACTTGGAGAGGGCTTCTCTGTAGTTGGGATTGGCTTCAACATTTCCGAGGAACTGTGCAGAGAAGAGGAAGAGAAAGAATAAAGGAGAAGGCATTTTGAGGGATGCTACGTGGAGGTAAGGTTGTTTCTGTATGCGTATTTACTATTTATAGATAGGGATTAGGGAGAGAGAGGAGAGAAGGATGCGGAGTTGATATTAGCGGTAAATAAGGCTTTTTAGATTCGAATTGACTGTTAGAATAAGCTATCCTTAGGAGAAACTTTGCCGTTGCTGCCTTTGTGGAGCAACCAAGTTTTTACTTTTGGTAATTTTTAAGCAGACAGGGGGAGTATCTTCAGTGATTAGAATTCTTTGAACTTCTTTCTCCAAGGTATGTGATTTTGATTTACTTTCCCTCGAGCTAAATTCGATGGACATTTGAGTTTTCTGGATATAGATATAAATTCTCTTTATGGTTTCGACGTGGGCTTAATATTCCAAAAATATGTGCTTTAAAATTAGGCTTAAGACAGATGTTGGGTTTGTTAGGGTTTAGGCATTATGACTTCCAATAAAGATAGACAAAAGAGAAAGGGGAGCGTGAATGGCGCCAAGATAACGGCACCGAGTCCTAGGGCGTAATCAAAAAGTTGAAATTCTAACAAGGGGGAATGTTCATAATCATCTCTTTGCTTTTGGAACTTCCTTTTTCAAATCTGGAACATGGGCGTGAAATATCAAAAGTGACGATGGTGTCTTGCGAAATTATAATCATTCTACTCCTCTAATTTAGGAACAAAATCATAATGCTGAAGTCTAAGTTGCATGAGAAACGGCTTTATACCGTAATTAGTTGAAGTCGAAATGAAGCAGTCACGTCTCTGACGCACGCTCTTAGGTTATAAATCTCGAAGATTCGCAGTCCTTGCTCTAGAGCCCATCAGAAAACACCAAACATTTCTTAGTTTTGGTGGAAAAAAAAGCGAGATTTTTATACAGTTACAGGGCACAAACAAAACCTATATCTGATCTCAACCACAGGAAGCAGCTATTCAACAGTAAACGAGCACTCCTCCGTTTAAGCCTGCCACAAAGTCAATGCCTTCTTGCCGCAATAGATCCATAACTGGTGGTGCTCTAATTGTTGTTTGGAACCACTAGACTTTGCGATAGATGAGCATCCTCTTCCTCTTCCACTGCTACTGAAGATGGGGGCGCTAGCTTCGATGCTGATTGCTCGTTTTTGCTAGATCATTCTCTGTAACCTCTCTTTTCCTTTCCGCAGACCACGAAAAACACAGAAGCCGAAGGTAGCAAAGGGAATTAGGACTTGTAAAGATGAAAGCTCGGTCTTGAGGAGATCCTTGACAATAGCATATTTTTGCCAAACTGCTGGACGTTCAGTTGCTGGGCAGTGAGCAGAGGCATCATCAGGGGAAGCACATGTTCCGCTGGGAATTCAACTCCAGATGAACAAAACCAGAAAACAATGATTATGATATGTGATCCCGTTACATTCAACCATAGAGAGAGGAGGAACACGAAGGCGTTAAAACATCCAAGGAGAATATAGTTCCTGCTTGGGAAGTGCATTTGCGACAGCAAGGGTACATATAAGGGTAGGTGCAAAACGATCAACAGCCTGTACATCGCTGAATTGTTTGCAGAATTTCGAAGCAGTGTTTATCAAGCATGTTAAACCAGATCCGCTAAGCAGAGCAAATCATTTACCCTCACCTGCACAAAAATGAGGAAACACCCAGCATATACCATTCAAATTCTGTTTAGCAGTTGAAGTCCTTCAATTGATATTTTCTCAATTTTAAAGCTACAGACAGAAAAGGAGATGGGAAATAAAGCTCGCTGACAATCGATTAAAGCATAACATACTGCAGGCACTCGTAGTTTTCAGAGTCAACCCATGAACACGAAGCAAAATTGCTTGCTTCATAACCCGCAGTTGCCAGCAATAACATATCAGGACAAATTCATATACTGCATGTGACTGAAACTACGGTGTGGAACCAAGTATTTAAAGCATGTGACACTAGTTATGTGAAACCATATATCAAATTTTGAAGCTAGTATTGTTTAGATGGATGTAATTCCTCAAGTAAACAGAAAGCATAAAGCACTGACCATCAAGTGGCTTAGCAACAGATGTGGGTCTCTCCACAACTTCCTCTTGTATGCAGACATCATTATAATTGTACGCTTGGAGAAGCACAGGGGGGAGGACATGTGATACAAGATGTTCTGGACAAGCCTGGAAATTTGATCAAAATAATGAAACCAAGTAAGAAACCTCACAGTATACAGCAATAATATATTTACAAAGGCTCATCTCCAAAAAGAGCTTATAAAATCACCACCAAGTTCTGCGAAAAATTTAACATTTGATCGAATACTTTGGCGGGCACAAGATGCGTTCCCAGATTTGGCATTCATATGAGATGGTTAGCGAGGTAGAGAACCAGCATATGAGAAGAATGTTGGGAGATCATGTGGAGATGCAAGTGGCAGCCATGATGGAAATCGCTGTGGTCTGCACATGCCCGAAACGTATCCGCATAAGCTTGTCGGGAATGAAGCTCGATGGTTATGCCATAGAACAAGCTCACAGCTTCTTGGAGTCATCTGGACCTCCCTAAATCACACAAATGCTCACCAAACCGGAATCGGGTTTCTGTACACAATATGAATCAGAGTAGCGCCTCAAATTCATAACCTGTCGGCTGTCTCTGGGAAAAAAAATACACCACCTATGGCTTTGTCTGTCAACTATGCATGCCATCTGAGCCTGAACAAAAAAACCAATAAAATATTTGAAGTTTCTGATATATTGAGAAATCTAAGGAAAACATTGTCTCTACATTCTTCTTTGTGTGGTAAGAATGTACGGAAGCTACAGGCCTTGAAAGTTGGGACCAACGCCAGCCGGTGACACTATACAAACTTTGTAAGATAAATACATACAGTCCTCAGGCTGAACGTCGAAGAAAAAGGTCATTGTTACAGTGGGCAATACTCAGCTTCTGGCTTCTGCTATCGATTAACTAACCACCCAGGTTTTATCAGTATATCTTGCTTGAAGTCCCGACCTGTCACCGACGTTGATTCACCCAAGCGTCGGTAACACTGCACATAGAACCAGGAAAATAACTTTCAGCCAAAGGATCCAGAGAAGATAGAACTAATCCATTCTCGGTCATAAGTCATCTTGCTTGCCAAAATACTGGCATTAAGATTGCTTCTCTAGTTCTCTTTAGGGTAAAACTCCGCTGATACAGATTTGTAACAGGAAATGTAAATTGCATAAGCAGCAACCTACCTTGTAACAGATAATAGTATCATCAGGGTACATAGCAAACAGCTTAGTCCCCAATCGCGCATGGCAGGAATCGCAAAGGCTCGCATCATTTATCTGTACGTGTCGTGATCTTTCTTCTAATCTTGCCAACCTCGAGTCAACATCCAATGCACGGGAAATATTGCGAGCGATCTGAAATATAAATTGAGTTACGAGCACTAAGAAACTAAAGCTAGAGCCGAGGCAATAACCACACCATGCCCAGATAGCAAAACTTGAAGCAATGTGATAGAAGGTGATAGATTATGCCAAATATATCCATTATCACTTCTTTCCAGCATGTAACTGCAGATAAAGTTACAACAACAGCGTATGGTATTTCTCCAACAGAAACAGGGTTTAATAAAGCTATGATAGAAGCAATTATAAATCAACAGACAAGTAAATAGGGCAAAGCACATCAGAATTTTACTTGGCCCTGACGATGATGATGAACCCGAGCCCTCAGCATTCTCAAAATTGTATCAGATGCAAGTTTCAGGGGTATATCAGGAGACAATTTCTGCAAAATAACATCTCGACTTTATCCTCAGGAAATTAATCGAATAACATCAGTGATGCAGAAACAGCATGACAACAAGCAGCTTCAGTATTCTTCACATGTGACAGTTTAAGTGAGAGGTCCGTACTTCTAAAACTTGCAAAGGATCAAGTGATTCCCCATGATTATGGAGAAGGCGAACAGCAGCCTTGAACATTGGTTCTTTACCAACTTGAGGATCCAGATACATATCAAGCAACCTAACACAACAAGGAGTTAGAAGGCATACATCAAGAAAGTAAAAAATCGCCGTGGAAGCTACAAAAGCAAGTAGATAAACTTAAGGGAAGGAACAAACTGCATAAAAGCATCTGGTCTGCCGATCTCCACACAGTATTGCTCTGCAGCCTCACAATCCTCAAGTTTCCTAGAAGCTCATCATAAAACATTTTGTCAGTAACCATAAAACAATTCTCTCAAAGTCCAAAACAACTCTATTCACGAGGTCATGTGTCTTTGGTTTCCACAATGTTCACAGAGATACTTCATTGCCGTTTGTTTTAACTTTTCATAGCCATTAGTCTCGCTCAAGAGAATTTCATACTTACAGAGCCAAAATTTGGAGGACCAATGTTTCTTGCCCCAGCTTTCGGTATAGGATAGCCTACCAAAGGAACATTACACATAAATTGGAAGAGGGAACAACACAAGATTGACAGTTGTGAGAAGCAAAAATCTCTGGAATAATCAATGCTTCCCAGAAACATGTTAATGCTGCTTCAAGCATCTAGGATCAAATTCTCATGTAATCGATGACAAATGTATTTGGCAGCATAAAGACATAATCCAGAGCAACAGTTTTGACACACAAACCTTTTCCAACCACAGTTCTGATCCTTCAACCAAATCCAGGATCTCTTCAGGATTATATAAATCCGAAGATTGCAAAAAGGTCTGCAATCTCTCTCGTACATAGCTTTGAAACATGGACGTAATATTGGCATTACAATTTTCCACCTCTACACCTCCAGCATCACCTTCTTGGACATTGTTTTGTACTTCCATGCATTCAAGAGCTGATTTGGCAAGCGAGAGTGCATATAATGTATGCAACTGTGGGTCATTACAGTCTCGATCTTCAATCAACCACTGCAGATACCTGGGGAATACAAAATGGGCAAGAAGAAAATCTATCAATATTCGCAACTCTATCAGAACAAAATTCGGCGGATCTTCCTTCACCAAATAAGCTCTAATAAAAACCCTAACAAGTTAAAATTATCAGTGCTGAATTAGACCATACCTCTGAAGTATTTCAACTTTTTTGGGATCAATTGCTTGAATCACTTGCTCTGCAGCCAGTAACAAATACTCTTTACATCAACCAAAGAAGTTTGATATACGTACATCACAATGATAGAGTTAATTTTTATATGCCATGCACTCAACAACCAAATGAAAACTAAAGAAAGACTTGCAGATAGTGTGAAGCTTACGATAGCAATAATGGAACACCGAACTATTCTCATCACAAATTCAAAATCTAATGACAGAAAATTATGTATGAAAATAAATGCATATGCATATATATGGCACTCTGCCCCAAAACCAGCCTTGAACTATTTTTGCATGCAATATAAAAGTTTGCAGAACTGAGAGATGCATCACTTTAGTTATATCAGACACTAAACTAACCCTATGTTCATTATCAGAGAAGCAAAATAGACCACAATAGGAAACCAAAGTCCAAGTTCAAAAGTAAATTCTTGAAATGGACAAAGTAGCACGAACATGTAGAGGAAACAAAAACTAGAGCCACAATCAAACACGGATGTCCTATGAACCCTGATACCCACCTGGTGAAAGATCTTCTGTCCTTTTATCAGATGTCAAAACTTGGATACCAAATGATGAATTTATATCCGCAATCTAAAAGTGAATAAGCAAAACTTTCTGGTCAAATTCACAATTACAAACTTACAACAATTGAGGAAACATACAATGCATACCCAACTAAGATGCTGCGACACCAGATCCTGATTGCAGGATTCCTCAAGAATCCTGGAAGCTTCAGCAGCAGCAGCCTCTCTACCAGAGAAACTAATTGGCTCGCCGTCAAGTATATAGCATACTGAATGAGAGTCTTGCCATAGACCAGATGAGTAATTCCTAGCAAAGAGACGCCAAATAGAAAGAGCTTCGGCACTCATCCCCTTATTGGCATATAAGAAGGCGAGAGTCCGTAGATGTCCAGATTCATTTAGAAGAGTCTCTAACTCCTCCTGCACCATCCATGCAAGTTGTATAGTCATCTCTCAAGTAACCTTCTAACAAAGACCCTCGGTTTTCAATGCATTTGAATTCTAAGATTCCACAATTTGCAATGTTCTCATGGTGAATTAATGTGAGCCCGGGAGGACTATGCCTGATATCGAACTTTCCAGTAGAAATTTCCATATAAGTGAGTTTTTAGTAGTTTAGACATTATCGTAATATGGCTGTTATTACTTAAATGCTATCCACGACAATAGTTTACAAAAATGAGTCCAAGCAACACATCTCTGCAGGACGAGGTATAAGGTCTAACATATTAAATGAAAAAGGAAAAAGCATGTGTGCTTGTGGCATTGGGAACGTGCTTCCAACAACATTAGAACAAAGTAATAGCAATCTTACACAAATATTTCTCTGAAATAAATTGATAACTGGAGCTACAAGTTCCATTATCCTATCAACTTTACACTGGGCAAACATGAGCGTGTACAATATAGGACTGGAGCTAGGAACACATACCACAACACAGTAATTATCTGTAGATGCAAGTTTCTCCATATCTTCAATTCGGTTCAGGGCTCTATAGAGAAGTATCAGAAGAGTGTCGATTCCCTCCATTACTGGCAAAGCTAATTTTTTTTCACGAGATATCTCAAGGTACCTTAGCAACAAAAATGTTACTTGTTACATGCCAATTCGAACCAAAAAGCACTGAGATAAAAATATAGCACCTCTAAACAAAACACGGCAACGAGAAAGAAGTTCTATTACCTGGTAACATTTTTTATTGCTGATTCCAATAAATCAGCTCTACTTGAAGGATTTGACAAAAACTCTTCACCGTATGGAATTTCCACACCTGCTTTTCTAAGGAAAATAGCTCTCTGGATAGACATCAACCCATTATCTACAACATCTTCAAGAGGCACAGGGGGAGGATGCAATCCCCAGTATCTGTTTCTTGGAACCTGAAAGCAAGAACTAACCTTAGAAAACCAGAAAGATGGGCTCTCTCTTAGGCCAAGGCTTGGGGCAGCAAAAATAATATACTTGGGAACTATACCATTAACTTTGAGTTAGACAAAATGCTGAATGTGATCAAGCAAGCAAAGTCCACAACTAGAAACATTCCAAATTACAAAGAATACAAAATAATGATAGAACTAAAAGCCACTAACAAAAGTAATATACCACAAAATGATGATAAAACTAAAGCCACTAAAGGCAAGTAATATACCAGCAGAGACCATCGATTGGGATCTCGCATGATAAATGGGAAAACTTCAGAAGGCTGCATTCTTTCTGACCGTAAAAAATGATTCACTGCTTCCTCAAAGTGCAAATCAAAAAGCAGTAGAAATCCTACTTGCGCATGAACAAAAGAAAGCATTTCTTTTGAAATTTCGCCCTCCAAGTCAAGCTCCTCGACAAGAGAGATGGCTTCTCTGTAGTTCTTTTTCCTCAGCAGGTCTTTGATCTGTTCTTCATAAGCCACTTTCTGATAGAAAATAAGCTGAAGCATCAAAAATAAAGAACTCGTGAAAATTCTGGTCAGTGTCCAACCATATGCTTTTTCAGCAAGACATACTTAAAGAACTTAAGGAATCCACAAGCGTGAACAGGTACCTTTGACAAGGAAGCCACGGCAACTATGCTGCCATTTCCAGACTCTTCTGCAGCCAAAACAGACTGCCCACATCCTTCAGGACCAAAAGTAACCGACTGAACACAAATACCCGTATTTTTCTGATATATCTCCATTTTTCCGTCCCCAACAGCCACAACATCGATACACAATTCTCCAACAGAATCAGGTCTCCTCCGGAAGACAAGGCTGCCGCCAACAGGCTGACCATTTGCGTCCACAATAACACCGACATTGTCGACCAACAACAACACCTTCCACTCTTTACAAAGCAATTTGAGCAGCGGGGAACCAGATACATCAGGCAAAGCAAATATCATTCCACTTTGACCAGTCACGCACGAGGCAAGGTTATACCCGTGAATGGTCCCCGCAATAATGAAATCATCAAGCCAAACCATACTTTTAACCCCAGTGAAGCCAGGAAGCTCTTTCAGGATAACAAAGGGACCGCTTACGCCGTCTTTTTCGTCGCATAGGAGTTCAATCAGTAACATTCTCTCACCGATAGAAACAGCAAAAACACAATTACCTTGCGGGGCTCGCTGATGTCGGACATCCTTGCTTTTGATGCCATTCACCCGATTACCGGTACCAAGCATTTGAAAAAACTTCTTGCTTGAGCTCTTATTCTGATCCATCGGAGTGTCCGAGGGCAACAAATCCGTAGTAACCGAATCGCGTCCAGTAAATCTTCTAGCAACCACATCGATGCCCTTCAATGCACCATCCAGTCTCTTAGCGGGCTTCGCTAAAAGCGAATCGACCAAGAATAAGTAACCATCGCAGAGAACTAGAACTTTCCCGCTTTCCTGGTCGAGAATGTAGATAGACTCCACCGGTGAAACTCCCAACCATACACTGCCAAGACGCGAAACGGCATTGGATGAAGCATCGAAAGAGAGAAGGAAAAGGGATCCGGAAAAGGTGCCGACGTAAACTAGGGTTTGGGAATCGGAGAGGGGGCAAAGTGAGAGGGCTCGGATATTGTCGTTGTCGTTGCCGCCGAGATCAAAACGGGCGGCGAGCTCCAGAACCGGCCGAGATTTGGCCATGGTTGAGGGTAGAGAGAGACGGAAAAGGCGATGCCGAGAGATATGCGAAGAAGACGGTCAGTCACACCAACGAGTCAGGCCTCGTGGTTTTCATTTTGACTTCCCCCAAGCCAGCGCTCCAAATTAAAAACTCTTCTACATTTTGATACTAATGGCCTAAATCGTAATTATTCATTTTAGACAAGAACAATTGCAACCATCGGCAATATGGTCGGGCTCGTGATTATTATTAAATAATTATTTACGTGCAACCCTTTATTTCAAAATAAAATTTGGGAAGGGCAAAGACGTGATCCAGTGAGAACAGAGGGGACACGTGGCGCTGTGCCCATCCCAAGGTGATGTTTTGGTGGAGAAGCAGCGCCAAAGGCAACACCGCAATCTCGGAAATTGGATGGCACTGCTTCACACTTGGTCTTCTTCATGTCGCAGCTTAATATGCGCACTCTCTCTCTCAGTCTGAGATCGTCGGCTCTTCCCTTCACCTGCTCTTTCCGCTTCCCTCCTCCCTCTTCCGTCAGACCCTTCCGCCGTTTTCATTTCCTCAGGCCATGTTCCTCTCTCAAGCAGACCAAGAAGCAACCCTCTCTCCGCCGCTCTCCCAGTTCCACTGCCCCGCCGCCGCATAGTGTCCGCTGGTTCTTCAGCCCGAAACCCGGCAACGGCGGTGGCGATGGCGATGGCGACGGTGACGACGATGATGCCAAAGCTGACGGGGATACCGCCGTTAAAGGGACCCTCTTGGCCGGCGTTTTGTTGGTCGGTGTCGTCGGTGGCTTCGCTGGCGTTGGATATGTCTACAAGGATCAGATCAATTTCTTCCTCTCTCAGTTCTCCGCTTTCATCGAAGGTGATTTCTACAAGGACCAGATCAATTGCGTCTACATAGACATTAATGCAATACCATTGAATTTTTGTTTGTGAATTGGGTGACTGAAGCACTCTGATACTGGCTTGGATTGATAATCGATGCCATTCGTTTCTTCTAATCATCAGGTTATGGTCCTGCTGGATATGCTTTGTTCGTTGCTGTGTATGCTGGACTTGAGGCAAGCTTTTGATTCTCTGTTGATTTTGCTTTCTGTAGACTTGCATCAATGTGGGTTCGACCACTTCCACCGTGTGCTGTATTTGCAACGTTGTTATCTTCATCTCTGAAATATGTTGCCTCAGTTTCAAGCTCTTTGTATTTTTCTTCTGGTAGATACTAGCCATACCGGCCATTCCATTGACAATGTCAGCGGGTCTTCTTTTTGGCTCTTTCATCGGCACCATTATAGTTTCTATAAGTGGAACTGTAAGTTGTCCTTTCTCAATTCTTAACCCCAAGTGTTAACTCTCTGGTATCTCCAATGTTTTTTCACTTAGATACGCATGATTATCTAATTTCTGTTTTGCTGCTATTATTTATTAGGTGGCTGCCAGTGTTGCATTTCTGATTGCCAGATATTTTGCTCGCGAACGAATCCTTAAGCTTGTTGAAGGCAACAAGAAATTCCTAGCCATAGACAAAGCAATTGGTGAAAATGGGTTTAGGGTTGTTACCCTCCTTCGCTTGAGTCCTCTGCTTCCATTTTCTCTTGGAAATTATCTATACGGTTTGACATCTGTGAAGTTTGTGCCGTACGTTCTAGGAAGGTCAGTTACTCAATCTATTACAATATCTATATAACATTGATATCTGTTTCGTAAACTAGATAACAGTTCTGCTGTTAGTGCATTGTATCACATTCACATGTAGAACCCCGTTGTCCCTTTATGTTTTAGTGACTAATTCTTTGAGTTCAATCTGAAGCGAACAATTCCAAGTTAACTCAGTTTGTTATCTGATATAAGAAGTTTTCAACTCAAGAAAAAGAATTATAATTTTACAGAAGCTGATGACAATCATTGATGCGAATTAACTGATAATTCTTTTTGCAGCTGGTTGGGAATGCTTCCAGGAACATGGGCTTATGTCAGTGCTGGTGCTTTTGGACGAGCTATAATCGTGAGTTTTAGTGTTCTTTTAATCCATGTTTTTTGTTTTTCCTATCCAGTCATGAAGTCTCTGTATGAATAACTTAGATGATTTGATCTAACGTAGAGAGGTTGATTTCCGTTGGTAGCCACGTCCATTAAAGCTCGGGTGTCTAGGTGAATTTGACTAGAAACGATAGCGAAGAGTGGTACCTCAAGATTGAATTGATGTTTGTGAATACAAATGAAATTGAATTGAAGAGGGCATTCTGACTCATGGACTAGATTAGATGGCTTATGTGATCTAGTACTTGTCAAGAAGTAGATGTCTTTTGAATATTGAACGCATCATTTCTGGACTTTTTGTTTCAGCAAGAAGAATCTGATGTGGGCTTGCCGGGGGGAAATGGGCAGCTGTTGACACTTGGGTTGGGTTTGTTGGCTACTGCGTTAGCGGCAACATATGTGGCACGCCTCGCAAAGGTAATTGATTGAGTTTTGCTTTTGATCCGGTTTCCTCCCACCAGGCCACGATTTAGGAAAGGGAACTTTTTGGCCATTGATTTTGTTTGTGTTGCAGGACGCTGTGAAGGATATCGATGAGTAAAGCTCCATCTGCTGGTAGTAGGATAGCACATGTTACCTTTGGAGGCCATTGTTACCAAATTATATGGAATGTGGAAGGTGGCTTATCTATTGGTATGCCCTTGTTTAGTAGATATGGTGGTGGTGGGTGGGGTGTGTCAAGTCCTCAGTTCCTCCTGTCCTGTCCTGCCCGCCTGCTTATTCATGCCACTTGTGAGACCCAACAATTCTCATTCTGATAGTGAAATCCAACAAAAAAAAAATTCCTAAACTCCTCCGACCCCCATCTCTCATGTTTCTCCACATGACACCCCCCACAAAGTCTGTGTATCATATGTAAGTGCGTAAGCCATACCAGAGTTTTAATTCTATCATTAGAAATTGCGAAAGCATCTTGGATTATCAAGGTCTGTGAAGCATTCACATTGTTGGGTCAATCATCCATGTTAAAAAAGGTGAATTATTAGCATATTAGACCGAAGGATATTGGCTTTTAAATTGATTAGTTTGAGCATTGATTTTTTTTATAAAAAAATGGAATAGCATAGTCCAAGATCAAAATAAAAATAAGGGTTAATCCCATATTCTCCCACAAATTTTCGAAAAAGTTTCAATTTCCTACACCAATTTTTAATTTGTCAAAAAATTACACCGGATTTCAAATATTTCTAAATTTCTACACAAAATTTTAAAATGTATTACAATTTACCCCATGCCCGTAAACGATGTTAAGTTCCGTCAATTTTGATGCTGACGTGGCATACAATGTCGTACAAATTTCGTCAAATCATCACATTTCGCCACATCATCCTGCAACGTCATAAAATAAATAAAAAATAAAACAAAAATAAAAAATTTCTAAAGTTTTTTTAAAAACTAATAAAATAAAATAAAATAAATACAGAATTTTAAATTTTATTTTTTAAAAATAAAATAGAAAATTACATATACATATATACACACTTTTATATCTATACATAATTATATACATATACATATACACATATATATATATCTACATACATAATTATATACATATATATACACACTTATACATTTACATGTATACACACTGTTACATATATACACAATTTTTTTAAAAAATTTTTAAAAAATTACAGAATTTTAAAAATTATTTTTTAAAATTAAAATAAAAAATTATATATACATATATACACATAAATAATATATATATATATATATATATATATATATTCACATATGTATATATACATATTCATATATATACATATATATCCATATATACATTGAACATGTATATATATATGTGAATATGTATGTATATATGTATAAATGTATATATATATGTATATATATGCATATGAATATGTATATATACATTTATACATACATGCATACATACATGTATGCATATTCAATGCATATATCTTTCT